GATGTTGCTTCATGTTTGATATAATTACTTCAAAATTTTGATGTAAGAGCAATTTGAATACAGTCGTTATCGGCATTTAATCGATTTCTGTTTTTCGTTTTTATGTTCATTAGAGTGGAAAAGCTTTGTTCACAAATTGCAAATGGCAGCAATTTTTTTTACCAAAAAGACGACAGATTTGCTTTGGTCTCAAATTGAATACGTGCTTCAGTATTGGATCGAAGTTCAAGAATTGCCTCTGCCAAACCTGGAGGTTCTTCTGGTATGTTAGTAATTTCACATTTAAAAGGTTTGTACATCAAGATCTGGAAAGTAGTCAGAGAACCGCTCTCTGAGTTTGGTAAGATGAAATTACAAAAATTTCCCTATAACCCAAAAAAAAATTCATTTTTACCCCATTTTGGGTAACTTACCACGACCGCTGATTTATATAGTCATTCGAAAACAAACAATGTATAACAAATACCTTATGAACAAAACCATCAAGTCCGAATTGCGTTAGAACGTTTAATCATCAATAGAAATAAAACCTCAATCACCACCAATCAACCACCGACTGACAAGAGAAAATTCGAAGAATAAATGGCAAGCACAAGTCTTGCGCAACTACCATTAGAACAAACTCAAATGAAACTGACTAATAAAAGGATATTGCTGTAATCATGACTGAAGAAGTATTACAAATGTGTTGAAATAATCACTAATTAATATTTATTTCTTTTGTATTTTCAATTTTATAATTGAAAACAATAATAAGAATGGAATTTTTGTTGCTTTTTCTCGATTTTAAATTTAAATTTCAACCGGAACTGAACCGAAATTTTTAGACGAACCGCAACCGAATCTGGAACGATAAACATTTAATTGGAACGTAACCGTAAACCGGAATGAAATTGTTTTCTGTTCGAGTCTCCGATTTTAATTATAATGCAAAAATTTTAGCATGAATATTTGTAGAATTTCTTACTTTTGTAATATAAAAAATAATTCTATACATTTATTATTTCTAATTCTCGTTTTACTTTTGTTCCCGAGAAAAATGGGAAAGAATTTGTAATTATGTATTTATTTTTGTTTGACTGTTTCAATAATTAGATAACAACCATAACCATATAATAATTATATATGCTATATTTTATATTGTCATTATTTTTTCTAATTTAGTAATCAAATAAGCGTATTGGAATGTGTAAAATTCAACATAACCTATATACGGAGGGCTTTTGACATTGAAGACGAACACATGACCTAGTAATTGTTTTCGTCGCTATAGCAACATCAGTGATTAATCTGAAAATCTTAGGGGTAGAACGACAAGAGAAGAAAGAGAAGAGCAAAAAAGAAGCGACGCGGGGTTGTTTTCTTGAACAGTTTCGGACGTGAATGGATGAATCTTTATATCTTATAGACTGGCTGCTTTTTTTTTTGCATTTCTGCTGCTAATCTCAGTTTTGTTTCAGAGTTCCAGAGAGAGAGAGAGACCAAGGTTGATTTATGCGTGTTTTCTTCGGAATCAGGGCGGTTTTGAGGCGGCGGCAGCACCGATGACAGGGCCCTGTTGATAATTACGTAATTATGATCACAGCCGCACCGTGCCTAATCAGAGAACGCGCCGGCCCTGCAAGAAAGATCATTACCGTCGCCTGAATACCGAATACAGCTAAACCAAATCCAACCCCCTCCGAATCCTTCCTGCCGCAAACGGAAACTGAACCTCCCTCCGCCGTAATCCGCTGACATAAGTTCAACTAAACGTGCGTCAGCCCCAAAACCGCCCCAACCCCGCGAGCGCCTCTCGCCAACATGGCAGATCATGATAACTTTGACGATGAGGTAAGTTACAAGATAGTTTCTATTTTGCTGCATGGAAATTTACATCATTTCCAATTAACGTTATTCTTTGTGTTGAGTGATCGAAGCGCATGATCTGCAGGACTTTTAGGTACATCCCTCGTAAAACTGCTGATGGCCAATTAATTTTCTAGGATTTTCCATTCCTCGTTTTTATTACCGTCATAATCGCGATCCTCCACTCCATTTAAATTTATATTATTACGAATCATAACCGATCTAATTCCAGTTTTCGTTATCTTACAAAGTATTAGAACTTCGAAATTTCTAATTCTATAAGTCAAATTTAATTTACAGAATTTAAATATTCATATTTTCAATACAAGTACTACCCTGTTGCGTTGTATCTTTCTTGAAACTAGTCCTCTCTATACTATTAATACCTTGATTCTGGAATAATCCTTCAAACTTAGTAAGGGTCATTGTCATAAGTAAACCCTCTATTCAAGTTTTTTCTCTTCCACAATTTATTTAATCCTAAAATCCAACATTGATGATTCCATTTTACTTAAAAATCCCTACTTTCTTGCAAGAAATCCACTGACTACACTTTCTTTCTCTAGAATCAAGTGTTCATTTTCAATTAATTTCTAAATTTAAATCTCTCTCTTTTTGTCATTCCAAAATCGTCCTGAGAGTTAAAATCAACTCTTCCCCGTCTAAAACCTTCTTTCCACTACAACGAGATTATATATAAGTATTTTCAACTAATTGCTAATAGGAAAATGTCCTAATACTGCGGTTTTCAAAAATCTATAAATATTTCATTTTGTACAATTCTTAATACGATAATTCAATTGAACCATTGAACCATACTTGATTGATTCGCGCAATACTCGAATGAACGACAGATGGAAATGGAGAGAAACAATAGTATTCAATAAAGGAGATTGCATTGTCGTTTTCAATATATATATTTTTTTACTTTTACCGTGTTTCGTCTCTTTTGTAATTCGTTTTACGTTTCACTGTGTGTAGGAAATATCCGTCAAGCGCGCATTTTCACATCGGACATTGAACGAACAAAACATTTTTCTCTTCTCAAGTATGAGTATATATATTCTTGTATGTGTGTGTATGTATACACGTTTTGTGTTCAGGAATCGATTTGTATTCTGCCGCATATATTTGTTATTGAGTACAAATTTACACCTCTGATTTGATTATATTTGGTCCATTTTTTTATCTCTACTTTATACAAGACTGAAGTAAAATGATGAAAATAAAAATAGAATTAAACAAGTGTGAAAAGTGCGAGAATATCAAGATGATGGGAGGAGGAGGAGGAAGATGAGAGATAAAGAAAACAAACGCGAAATACATTTGACGGATCCGAGATTTATCTTCCTCCCGCAGCGCAAAAAATAGATCTGCTTGGTTCACGTCGGATGCCACCATTCCTACTATTTGACGTGGTGCTGTCAGTCTCAAATAAATTAGGAAATCATTTACACTACTGGAGTCGTTTTTAGATCATTGCAGCATCACAAAGGAGCTAAAGAAGCTAAAAGCAAAACTATTGTGCTTTCACAATTCATTTAATTTAAGCTAAAATGTAACAACAACAAAAATCTCTTGAATACAAAGATTTATATGACTGCAGTCTTTCCCACTATCGTTAATAGTAAGAATATGTTTACCAAAGCGAATATACATTTACTTAAGTTATAAAATATGATTTAATTTGGAGATAAATTAGAGGATACTTCTTTGCAAACTGTTTCTCCGTCCTCGAGATAAACACTCGAATGTGGGTGTTTTGTATCCTTCGGCCTCATTATTCTTTCGCTCCGCTCTTTCTTTTTCACATTCCCGGGTCTCTCCATTCAATTACAACGCATAAACCATCCCATCTGTACACATTCCCTAATCCCGGCAGGATCCTTGATCCTGCAACTGCACATCAATTTTATCCTTGCGAGTAAAAGAAAAAGAAAAGGCGAAAGGATCAATTTCGACCCCGGCGCTAAATCCACATTAACATTTCATCCGGTCGGTGTCCATTAATTGAGATCCTGCTGCACCTTTCTTCGTCCATCGCAGCGTAGTTTTCAACCATTTCTCAAGGATCTGCATATCTCTCTCTCTCTGATGATCACGAGCATACTGCTAATTGTATTTACAAATCGTTCATTAGGTCGCCTCGAAACTAAAACTGAACTGTTTCGTTTATCGCCGGATCGATTGAATACAAATTGCCTCCAAGAACCAGCAACGAGTATGTAATTGGAAAACAAATTAACGTCTACTAACGAAATGAAACAAAACGAAGGAAAGTACATTCGAAAAATAGAACAAACGAACGAAAATTAACTTAAAGAGGATACTCATCAGTTGTGCTGCATTAAACCTACATATTATTCTGTATAAGTTGAATAAGACCTTTTTGCAGCAACCTACCTGAAAATATTCAGAGCCGCACTGAGATTTCAATCATAATATAAAATATATATAATATTTGTGTGGCTAGTTCAGCCACAACAAGACCCTTTAAGAGCCGCATACGGCTCGCGAGCCACAGTTTGGCCATATTTGACCATATTTTTTTTGACCAATGAACATTTTAACGCGATCCAAAATTGGTAGTGCAAACATTTCCTCGAAAAAGACAATGGAGCACAAACCAAAAAGGTCAAAGAAAATTGCTTCCCTTATAAATCATGACATAATACTGAAGAATATGACAGTATACAAATTATATGTAAAATATAGTTTTTCTATCAAATTGTAACAACTCAGAATTCTAAAATTAGATTAAATATTACATGTATTACATTTGACATGTATCTATATGATTTCCTGTTTCAATCACTTAAATCATTGACACGTTTGACGAATTAAAGCCAAAGCAATAACAACAACAAAAAAGTTGGAAGAACAAAGCAAACTGAAAAAAAAAATTAAACACAAAAGTGGAATGCAAATGCAATTTGCGAGCCGTGTTCGTGCTCGGTTCTCGTTTATTTCATTTTCTTTTGTTTTGATTTTTTTTTAGTCCGACTTTTGTTCTCTCATTTTTTCGCATTCACAATGGACCCTCCAGCAAAGGAACAAAAAAAATAGTAGAGTCGAACGAATGTAAACGCGAATGCAGGCGACGAATGTTTAGTGCATAATGTTGTAACAACGTGACCTAAAAAATATCATATTAATGAGAAATTATGATCCAAGTGGAAAATATTCATGATTATAATTAACTAATAAATTTATATTTATTTATTTGTAAATGTTTTGTTAATATTTCAAACTTATTTTAGAAAAATTTTGAGTCTAAAAACTGATTTTCTTTTTCAAATTTTGGTACCCAAAATTAAAATGCGTCTTATACATGAGAGTTTCTTATACTTGTAGAAATACTGTAATTTTTTATGCAGAATCCAGTTGAATCTGGGATTTTCAATAGATTTCGTTGCTAAAGGAAGTTCGTAAGTCGAAACCAAAAGTAAATAGTTTTCTTTGCAAACTGTATTAGTTTTGTTTTGTTTTTATGTTCGATAACTGCAATCGATTTACCGATGTATATGAAATTTTTATTTAATAAAACATGAGGAAAAAAATAACACTAAGGGAAAATAAATATGAATAACGTATAACGCCACCTGTTTTCTCGGCCATTAATCAGAATTCTGAGAATGCGTTTACGTAGCAGAAGATTTACCATATATTCTTTAATGTTCTTCTGCTCTCACTACAAAGGTCACTATATTCTAATTTATATTCTGAGCATCAGCAAATTGACATTACTGGAAAAAATGTGTTGTGTTCTGTACTTTTTAAGGTGCTCAAAAAATCGCGTGCGGTTTTGGTATGGTCCGTAAATATTTTCCGTTTAAGGGGCAAAAGGGCCCGACGGTTTTATCGATTCGATCGCGCCGCACGGAAAAGCCCTTCCGCGAGAGGCGGAGCAGCAAAACGTTCGCAGAGGAGGAGAAATAATAATAAATTACATCATAAAGCGGCCCCGCGCCTAATCGATTTTTTTTTCAAATTTGCTGCCAACCCGACAGAAAAAAATATTACAGATTTTCATTTGTTATATCCACATAACAATGTAGTTGCAAGAGAAGTTCAAACCTGTATGAATCTTTCTTTGAATTAAAATAGTCTTGATCAAGTTTTAAATAAGTAAATGGTAAAGATGATCACATAAGCATAGACCAAAATGAAACACAACGCATATCGTAATAAACTAAACTAACTATTGTATTTCGATGTCATGGTAACAGCTTTGATTAAGGAATGTCCCCACTGATGCAACATCAATCTACGTTATGTCACAGTCGCAACACAACCCTTTGAACTCCGACACCGAAAATTAAAACATCTCTCGCAACTGCGGCTCAATTAAAGTTTAATTTGTGACCTGTAAACTATTGGCACGAATTACGACTAAAACGGATTTCCACAAAGGTTTACAAAATCAAAAGGAAATGAAAACAATAAACAAAAAATCCGGATTAATCAAAGCTGTCTGAGATAATGGAATTTCGTATTCCATTTCTTGGCTTTACATTAAAGTAATATATTTCCCTCCTTTCAATTTCAACTATTTCTTTTTACACGAGGCTTTTCAGTCGCCTCTTTTCAATGTTCTTTCATTTTTTTTTCGTTTCTCTTCACATCGCTCGTGCTTCATTGTAATAAATATAAAGTGCCAGAGCTTTGCCAACTTCTGAAAACACACGAAAAAAAAAATCGGACTTTGTTTAATGCTGATTGCATTTCCAATAAACTAAATTTACTTTAACTCGTGATCTCTCACATAAATAATATCGATTAAACTTTTTCCTGAAGAAAATTTTCTTAAAGTCGTAATTTGCCACAAGTTGGATATTGTGATAGTCTGTGATAGTTGTTAGTAATTATTTGATTATAATTAAATCATTAATATTTTTCAATGTATTGATTAACAGTTTTGTTAATTGTGTTTATTTAATACAATAAAATATACGTTCAAATAACTTTGAATACTCATATTATAT